TTTATGGTAATTTTATGATTATAATTTGAAGCTATTGATTATTTTTTGATAGATTTGTAAAGCAGTTAAAAATAAACATAATACATAAAATTTTGGAGGTTATATGACCATTTAATAAAGCCTTCGCCACATTTTCTTCATAGAAAAGCATTATTTTTAATTTATTTTTTTATCAATTTTTTCAAAGAAAAGATCTGCATAAAATTACCCAATCATTTTTGGTTTGTTTTTTTTCTATAAGATTTCTAGATTGTCTATCCTTACAGTATTTGGAAATTCCATATTTGGTAATAATCCTGACTGTATTATATATTATTATGTGCTGATCTGCAAGTGACATAATCAAGGGATTTAATCTTATTGTGTGACATAATTAGCATAGTGGATATTCGTTTTATCACATGTGACTTCAATTGAATTTAGAATAGAAAAGGTCACGTGACTGTACATAAAAATTTGTTTGACCTGAGATGTATTTTTTTAATGTGTATATTTTGCTTTCTATGTTCTTGGTATGTGTGTGAAAAATGATCAAATGATCACGTTGCTTTTGAAGGAGCTATATTTCAAGCTTTAGTGATCAATGTAAGTATATTGTAAGACATTCTAGGCTCAGAATAATGCATTTTTATTTTATAATAAGTTTATTTAAAATTTTACATTTTGGAAATAATCATTTCTTCATTTAATGTAACAAATTATCATTAACCATTATCTTTTTCTAGTCTATTATTATTATATAGGATTTTACATTTGAGACAACACCCTTTTTATAAAGTTCCAAACATTTACAATAAGCATGACCACATATTAATGTTATACCTTCTTGTTCATCCTCTTTGATCACATCATTATTATTGACAAGAGATGAAGAGAAAGAAAAATGTGAGAAACTATCTGTGATGGAAGATCAACTCTCAATTGTAAATATTATTATTTATTTATTTTTATATTGTGATCAAGTTTTTTGTTGTATAAACTTGATATACCAAATTTTGGATTTATTATAGCGAAAAAATTATTTAAACACACATGCATATATATCTTTAGAGGAACTATTACTAGCAAGAGGTTTAATGATATTCAATTATTACAATGCATATATATATATAATTTAGTTTCTAAAAAAAAAATTTTTTAAAAAAGGTGATTGATAACAAACAAAATTGTTTTATGTGTATATGTGGATCAGATTGAATAGGAAATCTTATTGACAAACAGTTTTTGGTATTTATTTGAGAGTTAATTGTTATTTTCTTTTTTTATTTAAGAGAATTGTTTTGAAAGTAAGTTACTTATACATTTTGATTAATTAGAGAACATTATTTCTTGATTTTTTAATGATGTGTTTAAAAAACAAAAAGGATTTTTAAACAACAATAACAGATATATTCAGGGTGTAATTATAAAGTGATGTATACAATTTAAAAAATGTATTTAAAATATATTTCTTTATATTTATATTCATATTTACATTTATTTTTATTTTATTTTCAAAATTCATATATTTATTCATATTTATTTAATTATAGGAAAATGTCATATATATATACATGATCAAAGGTAAAATGTTGATTTGATGAAGTCAATGAAAAGTTGAAAAGCAAATGATATATTATACTGTATAACAAAAAACCAAGCCTATGTATTAAAAACATTCAATAAAGAAATACTATATTAATTTTTTTCAATTTGGAACTAAATTTCCTTCCCTCCGATATTAATATTTGTTTTTCAAATTTGCGTAATGATCTTCAAGCCAATAAAATTTAATTTTTGCATGATATCTGGAAGGGAGATCACCACATAATTTAGCCAATGAAATCAAATGTCCACTATGCTTGCTTGATGAAGCATAGTGGACATTCGTTTTATCACTTGTGACAAAATCGACCATCGATCTTTTTTATATTGTGAAACTTGCTATTTCAATTGAATTTAGAATATAAAAAGTCACGTGACTGAACACAAAACCCATTTTATGGAAAATCTATTTTTTTTTATATCAATATATCGCTTTGACTTTTCTTTATATTTTGGTAAAACTTGATCAATTTGATCAATTTGATTTCAATAAGTTACCT